CGTTTGAACTCCGATTTCGCGCGGTTTTTTCATCGCGGTATTTTTCAACTTTATACGTTGAATTCGCATTTTTGACGATTTGTTTCGGTATGTCCATACCGAAAGGTATCAGAATCTGCAAAGTTGTGTTTTACGTTGCATGTGACCTTTAACACTTACCTTGTCGAGTGATTCACATTAAACTGTTTCATTGAGGTCAACACGAAATAGGGCGTCACGTGATCAGGAAAGTGCTGGTTCGCGGTCATAGTGACCGGGAAGTTAACTGGGGATTCAAAAGTAGTATATACAATGGCGGTGAGGTCTAAGGGCCTGACAAAAGCTTTATTAATGAAATAAAGCTTTACAGAGGCTTTTGTTGGACTTGGTCTCGGACAATCATTGTATATACTACTGACCTATATTAAACAGCAGAATCATTCCAAAAAACTTCATCATTTTCACAGATTCATTATCTTGCCTTCAAGCACTTCAAAATGTTACTTCAAGTCACCCAATCATTCTGGACATTTTGGAACTTTACAACGACCTCTCTGCTGGTCAATGTGACATCGTCCTCTGCTGGTTGCCGGGTCACGTCGGCATAGCAGGTAACACAAAAGCCGATGCTGCAGCAAAAGCAGCTCTTGACAAGCCCTTATCTCCACTGCTAATCCCGTACAGTGTTTTCAAACCCACTATCAAAAGCTATACTCGGGACCTCATGCAAAAACGATGGGACACTCAAGTAGGAAGAAATAAACTGTATCAATTGAAACCAACAATTGGTTATACCTACTTGGGTTGTCAGTCAAGACGTGATGAGGTACTTTTACGACGATGTCGTATTGGCCACAGTCGATTTACTCATGACTAGCTGCTGAAAAAGGATGGGGATGGACCCCCCATGTGTGTCTCTTGCGATGAGGTTTTCACCATCAAGCATATTCTGCTTGAATGCGTGGACTTATCGTCTGCAAGGGACTCACATTATGATGCAACAAACCTAAAAGATCTGTTCTCCCGCGCGAGCGCTCATCTGATAGTGAACTACCTGAGGGAAGTTGATCTGTACCATAAATTGTAACTGTGAAATGTAACTATCATAAATTGTAACTGTGAAATGTGACTAACAAATTGCCTGCCTTTAAATTTGATATGGTTTTTTAAATAAAACTCATTCCGAGTATGTACTTACAATGTTTATTAATGCAAACTTGTTCTCGTCACTATATGGCTGGAATAATGCCGATGTGACGTAAAACCCAACTCAACTCAACTCAACTGTAACAAACTGGGAAAACGCACAAATAAATGATGACAGTTTCGTAAACAACTTTTTTTTTTTGTGACACAAATTATGCAATTTTTTTCTAGAGTTGGTCTGTTGTTTGTATTGCTGTCCGTGTTGGTTTGATTCCTTTATGTCTATTTGTTTTTATGTTAGATTGCAATTCATTGGTATTATTTTGTCTCAAACGGGCTGTAGTGGTTAACACACTAGACTTGAAATCCAAAGTGCTAGGGTTCAAATCGTGCGTAATGGCAAAAGTTTTGCAATCATTAGTAAGTATATAGCCCCACTTTCATAATTGATGATCACATGACCTATCCCCAGCACAAAATCTTCATGCAAATACTGATTCACTGTGCTATCCACATGGTCACTTCTCTGTCTGAAATCCTGTCTGTATAGCAACACAAATGTGAGTATTTTTAATCATATATTGTGTACTTTACATGATATTTGAATAGTATATATTGTAGGATTTATCATTTGGAATATTTCGACCATTATTATTATGTAATTTTGATAGAAAGCTGTTCTTTGAAAGTTGCTTCAGCAATATTTGATAGTAAGATATCCCCAATATTATTGTACGGTAGTGAAATCTGGGAGCATTCATATCGTCCTCACATTGAGAAAATCCAATGTTTCTTTTTCAAACGTTTCCTGTGTGTTAATAGAAATGTTTCGTCCAATGCTGTACTTGGTGAAATTGGCAGGACCCAATTATGCGTTAAATATTACGGCAGATGTATCAAATATTGGTGCAGAATATTACATCTGGACAATAATCGACATCCCAAATCATGTTATGAAATGTTAAAGTTGCAAGACGAACGAAGGTCCCAAACAACAAGGCCAATACGACGTATTGTGAAAGGCAGAGATGGGCCACCTCCCCACTCCTGGGCCAACTTCATAGCTCTTAGTGACAACAAAGCTGACCTGGCTTGCTTCTTATCTGAAGAGTTACTGGCAACTGTTCCTCATGAGAAAGAGATAGTTGCAACCAGTGGCTTTGCCGACGAGAAAGCAGTCAAGTCCTCTAAGTCCACTATAAACCTGGATCAACTGATGAGTAGGCCAACGCACGGCTCATCCTTCATGCCATCAACATCACTTCAGGCACAGTCATACTGGCTGCCAGAGATACAGATGCCCGTCTGCTTCTCCATCTCTCAAAGTTGACACCATCTCGGTGTTGACAGGAACTGCTCAGAAAAGAAAGTACATTCCAATTGGTAAAGTTGGAAACTGCCAGCACATTCTGTTGCATTTTTGTTGCCATTTCATGCACTAAAGGGCTGTGATACCACATCCTATTTCTATGGTCATACCAAGAGATCAGCCCGGAAGGTCTTTCTCAACCATCCTCATCATCTCCTAAAGGATTTGGGCGGTGAACCAAGACAAGACTACATCCGCTGAAGGGTTTGTGTGCATGGTACTAGTATACGGTGTTCATAATGTTCAAAGTGTGAACACAGTGCCAAGTATTATGGTTGAGAAATCAAGCAAACCTGAGTTGATGCCGCCGACAACCGATGCCCTATGCCACCACGTACAGCGTGTGCTTACCAAACCATGATCTGGATAAAAACCTGTGAAGCTATATATATATATATTCCATCACTTCCCGAATTCACAGAAATGGGCTGTACAGGAGCAAACAACAGTCAACAACCCCCATTGATGTCTTTGGATCCCATTCCTGAAAATGTCAAACAATGCGCTGCAAACGCAGGAGATCAAATGTTCCATGTACTTTTGCGTGTGACTGTAGGAGGCCTAGTGATGAGGAAAGTTGTTTCAATGACAATTCTAATGTGTAGTAAAGTTTATTGATGACGTGTCATGAATAAAAGTCAAGTCACAAAGATGCTTATTTAATGAATCTTTGAATATTATAAAAATATGAGATGTTGAATTCAAACTTGTTTATGGTTGTGTTGACCAGATTACTAAGCATAACAGAAATTGGAATTCTTATGTATATGAGATTCAAGTATGAATAGATTTAACATTACTGTTATGACGTTTGTATGTTTCAACCATAAACTGATAAATTTAATTTTGTTGAGAATAGTTTGTTAAAGCAGGGGTAATCTAAGTCTTCTATTCTCCCTGGTTAAAGTTTCATTGATTATCGGTATTGTTTTCATCCGATATGACTAAAAATGTTCATGAAAAATATGTAGTTGTCCATTGGTATAACTTTGAATATTATTTGATTGCCCACAGTCTCAATACCGTCAGGGTAACAATGACCTAATCTGCACAAAATCAGTTACTTTTGCGGCCATTTTGTTTTCAGTTTTTGAGGTTCGTAAACATTTTTCTTTTCATTTGGTATCCTGTGTTTTCGTAATCAGCACCCTTTAAATGTCTAAAAAATATCAGGTGTCAAACGTTTGAAAAATGATGTACAATCACGGGTGATGATACACTGTGCACACTTATACCACTAGCTGAGGCAACTGTGGCGGCCATTTGTGTTTTTCAATTTTGAGGGTCCAAAACACACTTTTCAGCCTGGGATACTATTTATTCATGATTAACATGCACTCATTAAATGGCTTAAAAACTGAAGTTTCAAATATTTTAAAAATAGTGATACAGTTATAGGCGAAAAAACCCTGCACACCTACTACTATTTACAGGCGATTTGGGCGGCCACTTTGCTTTTCAATTGTGAGTGTCAATTAAAAACATTTTTTTTAGCTTAGTATGCCTCAACATCTTTTATTTGAGTGTTTTCCAGAATCGGGCCTAGTCTATGAATTGTTATGTAGCTAATGACGTGTGGGAAATGGTGAGATTTCCGATCGAATAACCTAATTTTCACTACTGTAGCCATTATCAGCAATTTAGCTTTGCCTAACAAAAGAATGGGCGAAATTAAAGATAACAGATTTTTCCACGGATATCAAAACCGTGAAGTGAAACTGTGTGCGTTGTGTTATATGTGTATTTTGACCTTCATATGCTGTACATGTAATTAATTATTAATGTAGCAGAGTTAGTCGCTATAAGGCTGAAACAATTTAATGCTGATGCAACGTTACTGCACAGTAGATCTACAGTAGACTTACATGTTAATTAACTGTTGCAAGAATAGTTTTCATAAATTGAGTAGAAATCATTTCATTGTGATATTTTGCAAACATCTTGGCAATCATCTTCAGCTACGTGTACATAGATCTATTTTTCTGTCATCTTTCCGTTGATTAGTTATCAAATGACACCTGATTAAGCACCATTTTAAAGTAGATATCTACAACTTAATTTTAATCTATCCCAAAGACAGCCATGTTAAAACTGATTGGTACGTCTAATATATGTTGTTTGAATAGTTGCAGTTTTCCCAATAATCATCGGAAAATTGAATGGAAATTATGTGTAGATCTATATGTATGTAGCTGAGAAGATTTCCCAGCTGGTAAATATTGAAAGCAATTCGACCGAAACAAAATTCATGAAAAATATTCTTGCAAGAGTTAATTAACATGCAAGTCTATGGGAATTTCTCTAATATGATGACTCACTTATGGCCAACTGTACATATTAAATCAGAGACAATAGATATTATATGGTCTCTGATTAAATCACCCGTGAACGCTTGCTGAGTTACTATAATTGGCCGTTTTGACTCTTTCTAAAATGGCCGTTTTAACCGACTCTAAAATACCGGTGTTCTAATACATATAGAGCCAGTTATCAATATTAAAGATATATTCGCATTACAGTTACTCGCGGTTACAGAACTCAAATAAGGAAATGAGAACCCGAATCCCCCCAATTCCCCCAAACAAAGTGTTCATAGCTGTACCCGCTCTGTGAGGAGGTAAAGCGAACGGTCTATCTGGCGAGCGCGTGCGAAACACTCCAACAGCCTGTTTTCATGTGTGCAGAATCTACTGCGCTCGTGCCCAAGAAAAAGACAGACGACGCCAGTAAGCGTTATTTCAAGGGGATATATTCACTCACTGTTCGAAGTCTTGTTCACGGTTTCAGGAAGGAAACGGGCGGACAAGTATTTACTTACACCCACTTTCTTATCACGTCAATTCTACGAAAGGGATACTGCAGTATGTCGTCGAAAGTGGTCGTACTATATTTGTGGATTCTCTACCAAAGAGCCACCGTTGATGGTGAGTATATACATCGTGACAACTGTCATATCATGCTATTATGGAATCATTAATCCACTAGTAAAAAGGTTACATAATAAAAAGTTTCCCTCGCGTCGTACACGGTCAACCTCCGAATATAACACTGGGTTTGGGAATGTTAAACTTCCTTCCTCATGATGCAACGCAAGTGAAAACATTAATTGTTTTGAAAAAAAGAAGGTTCTGAATGTCCGAGATTTTGTTATGCGTTAAAAAATGCATTTTTCTCCACAATTTCCCCACTGGGATTGGGAAAGGCAGGGTCCATGGGCCATTTTGCACATTTGAATAGAAAATGGCCCATTAAAATTTGGGGTAAGTTTACTATTGATACAAGGGCAGTGGTCCATTCTAAATTCAGAAAATGGCTAATAATCCTGAGAATGGTCCATTGTTAAAGTTCTCTATCCCAATCCCTGTACCCAACACTGACAAAGGTAAAGTAGTATATTGACTATGGGGGCATTATTTAAAGGGACACTGATCTACTGGCTGCCGAACAGTTATTGCCATATTTTAGTGGTATTGACAAAATTACTCCACTGTTCATTAAATTAATGAAACAGAATTAATTATGATGCTTCAACAGCTATTCACCAACGTGTCCTGCCTGTTCACTGCCACCGATCATGTTATTATGTAATGCGGCGGAAGGGAATGATGGAAGTACAAATACAGTCAGTGTCACACCGGTGACATCATGGCTATTTATAGCGGAGTCAGGTCCCTTTTTATAATTTGTGTATCTGTGTAATTAAAAAAGGTGCTCACCTCAAATTTTCAGAATTTAGAGATATGATGCTGTGCTCATAGTCATAGGACACCTTGGAGTCGTCTTGGCAAACTGTCTATAGACGATGAATGTAAACGGAACACACACACAAAACATAACTGAAAACTTCAAATTTCGTTCATGATCAGCACGAATCCCCAAAGAATTGGGTCACAACCATTCATCAGACTTTCTCCACACATAAACTTTCTGTCTTTCCCGATGTGGACTTGTGTCTCATCACTAAACATGACATTATCCCACTCATTTCTTCCCCAATGCAATTTTGTCTGACCGAATTGTCACCTCTTCCCTCAGTTAACAAGAGAAATGGTGATTTTCTTGCTTACCACATGTCTACTTTACCTCTCAGACAGTGAACAATCTTCTTCTGACAGTGCGAGAAGACACTGTAGTCTGTACCTGATGGCTGTATTTTGCTGTCAAGTCCCCAAGAGCTTGCCGTCGATTCCTTTTCACGAGACAAAAAAGTCGTCTTTCAATTCTTGGTGATGATTTTCTCGTCAACGATTTTACTGAACCATGCTCTTGAAAACCCTTTAAAGTTTTCTGAATTGTTCTTGGATTTAAACCTGTTTTGTAGCTTGACTGGCTTTGTTGATTCAGTTCAACAATTAGATTTCTTTGGTCAGGTGCCAATTCTCTAATAGCAGATGACAAAAACGTAAAGAAAGCAACGGAGGTAATCGCGAATTATAGGTCTTATTTTGTGAATTGTGAAATTTGTACCCCAAATCAAATTACGATTGATAAGGGCGGTGGGGTAGCCTAGTGGTTAGAGCGTTCGCTCGTCACACCAAAGGCCCGGGTTTGATTCCCCACATGGTTACAATGTGTGAAGCCCATTGCTGGTGTTCCCCACTGTGATATTGCTGTCATATTGCTATAAGCGGCGAAAAACTAAACTCACTTCAATCACTGACTCATATTAGGATTGGTGGCTTATCAACATGGCGAATACTTTCAAAGTCAACCTACTGCTCAAAACATCGCCAACGTAACATGTTTTGTGAACAGACTTTTGGCCACTTTTATTTGTTTTCTCACAGCTAGTAACTGTAACAGTTCTCACCATTTCAGAAGTTTTCCTGTCATTCGTGAAATAAGATTGTTTATTTCATTAAGTAACCTCGAATAATTGTGTGACTAGTTTGAGTGTCGTTTACAGCAGATTGATAGGGAATGAAAGAATTAATGCCTTTTGTGAACTTGAACTTACTATCATATAGGTCGTGTAACATCCTCCTGACTAAGTTAAGATTTTTTTTGTGGGGTTCATATCTTTCAGGGGTGGAAATAACCCATTGCCCGATGTCCGAGTCCAGTGTTTTTTTCTGTTGGGCAAGCAAATTTGTATATCACACTGTACCGGTATGACTTTCCAACATTAATTATGTTGTTTATTTAAATAATCAACAAGAAAATGGCCGGTATAGTGAAAAATTATCAGGGCAAGTGATATCACATGTGCCACTGTACCGGAGTACACGGGCAATTTTAAAGTTATTTCCACCCCTGTCTTTATCTTTAACTTTTCTTTTATGTTACTTTCAGTGAAAATTTTTCTTTTTCTGTCCTTTGTTGTTGTCAAATACCGTGAGAAAAAATACCGGAATTGTAATTGACTGGAACTGCGCATGGGTGATACTGGCGTATTGGCGATAACTGTTCAGCAGCCAGTAGAGCATTTCCCTGAGATTGATGGTTGCTTTTGCTATTGTTTTCCCCCAAGATATCCCAGATTTCTTGACGGGGTTGTGATCTGAGCTGCACCACCTGCCAGCACATTGGTACAAGGGGTGTATCCCAGCTCACAATTAAGTTTGCATTGTTGGAACATTATGATACTTTTGAGAGTATAGTTTTCCCAGAAGTTATTGAGAAGTTGTTTCGACAAATATCTAATACATGTATAAAAACTTTAGAAGTCATACTGTTCAGATATGATTCAGTACTATGTAAGACCTCCTTGCCCTGCAATACACAACTGAATGCGCTTAGGTACACTACTGATCAAAGTTTGTAGGAAATCGTGCGACAGCTTATCCCAATATTTGACCACTTCTTTCTTCATATCCTCAATATTTCTAAGTCCTTTTTGGTTTATTCTGTCCTTCATTAGTCCCCACACATTCTCAATAGGCTGGGCCTGTTTAAAACTCTGACAACCACTGTTTTGTGTAGCCCGGAGTGTGTTTTGTGTCGTTATCAGTTCAACATATCGTTCCTTTGTCAAATTTCCAGTGAAAATACACAACAGCTTCACAATCTGACCGAATTGGCGACTAACACCTTTTTTAAATTCTAGTATCATTATTAGGAAACAAAGATTATCTCAATAATTTCTGGGAAAACGGTACATCCATACCACGTTATTCTGTGGACTCCCATTTATGTTGTCACATTGTTGTGATGTGACATTGTGAAACGTCATTTATGGGAACGTAAATACATTGTGTGAAGGTATTTTACGTTGTGACATTGCATCTTACGTTGTGGAAAAACCCTTAAAATTGGTGATTGCATGAAAAATGTATATATTTTGATTATAATCGAAAAGGACCGCCTCCGTGGTGTAGTGGTTAGAGCGTCCGCCCGGAGAGCAGAAGGTCGCAGGTTCGATCCCCGACCGCGTCATACCAAAAGACGTTAAAATATGGTACTTGTTGGTCCCTGCCTGGCGCTCGACATTATTGGTTACAACAAGGACTGGTCGGCTTGGAGTCAGTATAATGTGTCTGAGTGGGGTATTCATCCTTCACTGCGGCATGGTACCTCAGTGGACTAGCACTATAAAACCAGCTTCAGTCTGGGCTAGTACAACAGCCGCACATACACATACACACGCATGCACGTCGTCATATGAGCGAAATATTCTCAAGCACAACGTTAAACCCAATTTCACCTCACCTCACCTTATAATCGAAAAACGTTCACCACAATCTTCCGATAGTCGATAGTGGATTTGGTTTGCAATTCCCAACTATACATACGTTATTCTGTGGACTCCTATTTATGTTGTCACAACAATGTGGCCTGATGTCCTGATGCTCAGGTTCAATGTTGGCACTACATCGGCAAAGAAACATTATCACACTGTTGGATGAACGTCTGTTTGTACAGATCCAGTATTGCTATCATATGTTTATACATTCTTCAAATTGAATTCACTGTGGTCTCTATCCATGAAACAGTCAGTCAATTAAATGCACTCTCTCTGTCTTGGTTGGACACGGGGATATCTTGATGTTGACTCAAGAAAAATCTTTCTGAATACAATTAATTAAGATATTATGCATATTTCAGAACAAAAATTCAAGGCCATTGTTACCATAAATGATTCCAAACAATATTAAAAAATAATTGATTTTCAAATTTATGACCACAGGCCCTTCAAAAAAGCCAAACGCAATGATATGAAACATTTCAACATTTAACTAAAAAGTTAACATTAAAGGCAAGAGTGAGAGCAGCAAAATATTCTATGTATCTGATGGCCCACAATCCATTTTCTGGGTCAGTTAAAAAATTGATAATGACAGCAACATAATGAACAATAGGTAACTCTGGTTAAGGTGACCCATATTTATTTCTGACCCGTGAAGATCCGGGTTAGAATTGATCTTCAGTAACCCACTCACTCACTTAATGAAACCGGAACTGTTTCATCATTAGAACAGACACAGTGGTGTTCGCATTATAGCCCTTTATTTCTGATAGTTCATGTAAAAAATACCTGAAACAATTCAAACATATCAATCATTACTGTCATCTTTAAATATAACCATTTACAAAGTATCATTATTGCTAATCTATTTCTTATACATTGCCTCAACATATATTGATGACTGTGTGACATTCCATTTGTACTTTAATTCATACATAGATATGCATATACATATCATATATGGAAACAAACATTTCTTATCATGTAGACATTACACAATGCATAAAATATAATAAACCCACCAAGTGTGTGGACCTGGGTATAATCAGTACACACCGACAGCTTCACGAGCAATACACCTACATCTGCACGAATAAATGAAACATAGATACACACTGTGCAGACTAATCAAATGACAGCAATAACAATACAACAACTACATTTAGTTATTGTTGATTAATGAGAAACATTTAAAATATATATAATGGTAAAACCCTGCTTCATTCTTACATTCACACA